ATAAAACATAAGAAAAACATATGAATTTATGCATATACTCTGCTGTCCTTGAAGAACAGATCAGAGGAGGAAGGAGTTTTGAGTTCTACATTGTTAAATATGGTTTTTCTATAACAAATCCTTCATTTATTCCCATATATTTTTCTCTTACAAATTGGCTCTATTTATAGCCAAACTTACTAGATATTCTACAAGATATTTAGAGATATTTTCTACCTCTTGACTATCCACTAGCAAGTAGTAGCTTTCAATTTTGCTACTAGAACTTACTTTACTTGTAGAATGGTTTACTACTTTGTTTTGTACTAGTTATAATCTAGTCTAACTTAACATCAATTTAGTTAGACATTTCAACTAAACTAGCTACAAACTAGATTACAATAAAAATACAATTCTTCATGTGACAACAATATGTCACAACTCCAACAATAACGCATCAAGTACAAAACATATAATGGAATTCAAGTACAATGTATATAAAGGGCGCATGTAATATATTCATCAAAATACTTGGATACTTGGATATGCAATAACAGAAAATATTATCCTAGAATAAACAACTAAATTTAAATTTATGAAATCAAATTATAAAATGCCATTGCTCAAACAAACTCCAGGCAAGATCATGAGTTTTAAGATGCTCTAAAAAAGGTTCTTCGGGCACTAAACCAACAATCTTTGGATATATTGTAAATAAGCAAATTCAGGAATTGACAAAATCTACCCCCCAAATCCACACACACACCCAACAAAAAGAGAAGGAAGAAAAGAATAAAAAGATACACATCTCCAAATAATCGGCATTGATGAAAGAAGCCCTCAGAAACAGACAATGTTAGGTCGTTCCGTATTCAATTGAATAACAATTATGTATGCTTTTATCCAATTTCTCATCACACTTGCTGAAAATTAAACTAGGTTATTGTAAGTGCTGGAGAAAGAAATAACTCATCCCAAATTAAACATGAGGTTCGCATACATCACCAAAGCGCTGACCTTAACAGCAGTAATCTTGTCAATATCATGTAACTAAATTCCGTAGCACTTTAAAAGTTATGTCGTAAATTTTCAAGAATCTGCTAGTTTTTTAGCAATAGAACCATCTACTTTCATCACAATAAAACCACACAAGGAACAAAAAATACGTACTTCCTGGGACCGTTATTGAATTTCTACGAAAAAAATTTATACTGGTTGCACAAGAAGTTGGTCGTTCAGGTGATCAATAAATGGTATGAAGTTCACTAAAAAAACATATGCAACTATCTAATGATACAAGGATTATGTAAATTAATATAGGAAAACATATTGTTTCGTACGTACTGAAATGACAAGAATTAAAAACTTCAAGCTGGCTAAACCCCTATGATAAATATTCTTCAAGGCTTCATTTCCTACCAAATCTTTCTGTTACATTATGAAGTACAGCCCAATGAGAACAGAATAGTACATGAATATACTAAATATTAAGCTTTAAATATTAAAAGTAACGTAAAAATGGAAAATTTTCCCTCAATTACATATTTTCTTGACCAAAATCGAAAAAACAAATCTGAGTCCCTGTTTGAGCCACATTAAAATTTTCATTCTCATTCTTCTAATCATTTTCATCCACACATTCTTCAATAAAATAATATTTTTCATCACATCAATAATTTTTTCTTCTTTTTCAACCACACATTCTCTATCAATCTACTATTCCAAAATACATTCTTACAAAATAATGTGGCTCAAACACACCCTGAATTTCCATTCTAAAAATGTTTTTACCCCCAAAAACCAAATAACACAATCTTGCAGCTCAAAACAAGTATAATCGTCATAATGGGAAAAATTGAATACTCATTTTCAACGACACATTCTTCAATAAAATAATATTTTCCACCACATCAATACATTTTCCTTTTTTTAAACCACACATTCTCTATCAATTTACTATTCCAAAATACATTCTTACAAAATAATGTGGCTCAAACACACCCTGAATTTCCATTCTAAAAATGCTTTTACCCCCAAAAACCAAATAACACAATCTTGCAGCTCAAAACAAGTATAATCGTCATAATGGGAAAAACTGAAACTTCGTGAAAATGTTCACTCAACTAAATGAATTGTTGGAAATGGCAATTGCTAAGCACATTAAGCACATGTGAATGCAGCAAATTTGTTTTATAGGAAATATCATGAAGTTGGTGGGCTCGAATTAACTTTCTGATCTTGTTGATCATATTGTTACGCTGTTCAAATTATGTTAAAGTAATTATGTAAGTATTTGTATATTCAAATTGTTCGAATGAGGAATTTATACTCTAAAAACAACATAATCAGTACAATAGAAAAGAAAATTAACCCTAATAGAAAACAAAATTATAATAGATAATATTAACTTTAAATTAAAAAATGAAGAGACATTGGCAGATCTTGACTTGCAAAACCGAAACAGGGTTACATACTA